TGTCATTATCTTCACTATTCGGTATACCATCACCATCAATGTCATCATCCTGATCATTTGGTATACCATCACCATCTATATCATCGTCATCAACGTTTGGTATACCATCGCCATCAATATCATCATCTTCATCATTAGGTATACCATCTCCATCAATATCATTATCTTGATCATTTGGTATACCATCACCATCTATATCATCGTCATCAACGTTTGGTATACCATCTCCATCCATATCATCATCTTGGTCATTTGGTATGCCATCACCATCCATATCATCATCTTGATCATTCGGTATTCCATCACCATCCATATCATCATCTTCATCATTTGGTATGCCATCACCATCCAAATCATTATCATTTAAATTTGGCACACCATCACCATCAATATCCTTATCTTCAAGATTTGGTACACCATCACCATCTAAATCAGTATCCTTCTCATTTGGGTCACCATCACCATCGATATCTTGATCATCAACATTAGGTACACCATCACCATCAATATCATGATCCTCAACATTCAAAAGACCGTCACCATCAATATCTTTATCTTCTTCATTGCGCTGACCATCACCATCAATATCATGATCATCAATATTTAAAACACCATCTCCATCGATATCCTTATCTTCTTCATTTAACAAACCGTCACCATCAATATCTTTATCATCTTCATTACGTTTACCATCACCATCAATATCAGTATCTTCTACATTTGGTACACCATCTCCATCAATATCAGTGTCTTCTTCATTTGCTTCACCATCACCATCGATATCATGATCGTCAACATTTGAAACACCATCACCATCGATATCATGATCATCGACATTTGATACACCATCACCATCTATGTCATGATCCTGCACATTTGGTACGCCATCACCATCAAGATCGTGATCTTCAACATTTGGTACACCATCACCATCGAGATCATGATCCTCAGTATTTGGTACACCATCACCATCAAGATCATGATCTTCGACATTAGGTACACCATCACCATCCATATCAGAGTCTTCTGTATTCGGTATTATATCGCCATCCATATCTTCATCGTGTATATTCAATATACCATCTCCATCCATATCTTCGTCTTGTTCATTTGGTATAACATCGCCATCTATGTCGCTATCTTCTTCATTTGGTATGCCATCTTCGTCGATATCACGTTCTTTAGGTAATTTCTTTCTATCTTCAGTCGAATCCACATCCTCTATTTCCACAGTTTCCAGTTGATCATCAGCCGGCTGATCAGATTGCATGCCATCATCGTCATCATTCGTTGTGCCTATATAGCGTTGAGTAGAGTAAAAATATTTATGAGTATATAAGAGTATCTCTAGTATAAGTCGCTTATTGGAATGCCTATCGGTAATAAGAGTTTCACTCTAGTTGCCTGTCAATTACTAAAATGTGTGTTCGCGAAAATTGCTTTTAGCAATTTAAATATTAATAAATAATATAAATTAACATAAATTGACAACTTGACAGATTGCTGTGAAAAAATCAATTAGTAGAACTCTCTGACCTGTGAAAAGTAAAGCCGTAAAAATTTTACAAAGTGGTTTTTTTATTCTGTTTTTTTTTTGTGTATTAAATATCCTTAGTAGATATATCACAAGAGATATTTTATAATTTTGGATTAATATATTTCCATACTATAAGTTATTATAAAAAAACAAGTTTTTAGAAAGATTTTTTTATTGGATCACCTGTTTTGAGCTCGTTTATAGCCTTTTCAATGTAAGGGCGACATTCGGATTCACTTGGTCCAATTTCAGATCCGCTAGCGAATGCATCTATAAATACAAAAAATCACAAAAAAAGGAAAATTAATTAATTAATTTAATTAATTAAATTAATTTGCATAATGGAATTACTTTTAATTTTGGACAAATATTTGCACTTTTACACTGAAAACTTTTTACATTTTTAAATTTTATTTCTATTTTATATTTTTATTTATTTCTCTTAACTTGACAATAATTTTTAATATGAGCACGAAAATTATTGTAAAATAATTTTAGTTTTCGGTTTTTCGTTTAATAATTTGCGTTTGTATAACGTTTTGGCCTTCTGCCCAAAACTTGGCCCACACAATTTTTTTTTTTTTTGCATATTAAATTTTCCATTTCCACAATTTTCATTTATCTTCTTCATTTCGCTATGACATATGGTAATTATTTGAGGTCGCATAGTTTTCAAGCGCTTTTCCATTTTTTTTACTCTTTGGAGGCATCACATTAAGGTCATTCAAAATTGTAAAATTTAAGATCTGAATAATTTAGACAGAAGTATGTTTACGTCAGTAGATTGTTTTATGGGTTTATGAGTTTCAAATACAAAAAAAAAAAATATGTAAAATCTTAAAAATAGAAATTACATTAAGTTTTATATTTATATGCGAAAAATCCATAAAATGTTGGTCATGAAAGCATCTTCATTCATATTTTTAAATATTTATTTGTGTGTTCCAAACAATGACCTACATATGTATCTGCTGATTTTCCACCTACAGATATAAATTTCAAAAAAAATGAAAAATGGAATACTTAAATTAAAGATTTTGTCTTTAAAGAATACAAGCCTGTCAATTGGATAATATTTCCAAAATTAAATTTTAAGTTAATATCCTTGAAATACTTGAACAAAAAATTTGAATTTTAAGTAAAATAATTTACAAAATGATTCAAAGCTTCCAAATATATATATAAAGAAAGATCACATCTTCACTAGCGGCAAATTTCACGTGACGGGTTCTAAATCCGGTGGACAATCCAAATTCAAAATCTTGGGATTAGAACTCGCTGCCAGCGTAAGGCCGAAATCCGATAACGATTTGTTATGACCAATTAAGAGAAGAATTATGATTATGATATATTTTTTTTCTCCTAAGTGGTATATAGATCAACTTGAACATTTATGGTAAAATCATTTTTAGAATATTTAGCGAAACGAAGCTCTGTTTCGATTGTTTATGACCTGGAGACCTGGCTGGGGCCCTTGAGCATGTGCTACAAGCAAATCTGCTACAAATATAGTGAGTTAGTTATTATTCTTAATAGCAGTTACAATTAGAAAAGTCATCTTCAATAAAATAAATTAATAAATAGATAATAGTAAATAACAACAACAAGATTTAAGTTTTAATTGTTAACACTTTTTAGATTCATGGATTAAAAAAAATTTTTTTCTGTTATTCATTATTCAATATTTACTCCTTTCATAATCTTGCATCTGCACTGGCTGGACTTTGTCAAGAATTTTTCATACTCTTTTTTTTTTCACTATAGGTACATACAAATTTTTCTAGTTCGATAAAATTGGTCTTTTCAAAATAAAAAAAATTGAAATTTCTAAATTTTTGAGAATTAAAAATAATTAAATTAAATATTAAATTATTAAATCAAATTAAAAAATATAAAAATAAAAATTAGTAAAATACAAATTTTACTAAATTCTAGTCACTGTAGATGTTGAGTAAAACAAAGCATAAGCTAAAAGTTAAGGGATTTATCAACATAGTCAAGGCATCTGAAATATATTTCTAGCACTGAGTATATAGATTATAAAAATTTTATCGGGCCTCTGACTAGAGGCCCAGTACATGTCACCATGCGAACAAAATAAGTCTTTCAAAGTAGAGCTTGTTTATAAAATGGATATAAAACAATTAAACACACTATCTGTGGATGTCGAAAACTGAGTGCTAGTAGACTTATTCATATTGTCAACCAAATTATTACCCCTTACAATATATAGAATAAAATAAAACCATTAAAAGCGCTGGTGTTCATTAAAAGTGCAGTTTATGGTAGGTCATGCTAGCAGATCAAAAAGGCCACGCGTAGACCATTAAAGTACATTGGGAAACCAGATCAGAGTCTTAACTTTTTAGGGATAATGTGCATCACTTAGGATGCGCGTATGGATGAACGAATTTTATTAGGATTTCAACAGAAATCTCAGATATGTAGTCCAGTCCTGTAAAACTGATAGCTCGAAGTATTTTGTCGATATTTTATAACGTTTTTGATAAATTTTCTATATTAAAATTTTTAAAAATCCAAATAATTCAATCCAAGAGTTAAGTTTTTTATCAGACTTGATCCAGCACAGTTAACCATATATTATATATTATTATATATTTATATTATATTATTCAAAAGTTTATTTTAAACTTACAAACTCTTTACTTTGTTCTGTTATTCCTATATCAACTATAATAATATTTATACTGATCAATTTCGAATATAATATTAATAATTATATAGTTTGATTTTTTTCTATTCTAAACTTTTTTTATAATCCTAAGGATCAAAGATTGATTTATTTACATAAAAAAATCAGAAATTAAACATTTCAAAAAAATTTTATATAAATAAGAAGCAAAATAAATAATAAAAATTTAAACAAATTCAATAGATCTTATGGAAGACAGGCTGACTTAAGAGGAGGAACCATTGTGGGAAGTTTTAAATATTAAATGACTTTTAGTTATATTGGAAAAAATTGGAGACGATAGTAAATGGATATCTTTTGGCAAGTGCCAAGCAGTAGCAAAGCCAAGAAGTAATATTTGCTTCATCCTTCTCTGATTCGCAACTTCGATAATAATCGTTTAAAGGTTCCCTAATATGCCGGCATTGTAAATTGATAACTAAATTTAGAAACCAGCAGAATAAGAGGGCGACTAAGAAAACGGTGGAAAGAAGTAAAGAATATAAGAAATTGGAAAAGAAAAGCAAGAAACAGAAAAGAATGGAAGACTGTTGTTAAACAGGCTTAGGTCCTACATGGACTGTATAGTCGCGGATGATGAAATTTTGAAACTAAAATTATAATTATAAATTATAAACAATATATAGAATAAGCAACAATTACTTCAAATTTCCAAAACCCGACGGTAGCAGCTATACCATATATTTTGACATGACATGTAGTATTGCATTCTTTAACTGAATACAGGTACCAATACATATAATTTCTATTTGAATTAATAAAGGATGAACAAAAAAACTAACCCAAGAACTATTAATTTAAAACGTAATTGATTGTGATTTTTGCCATAGAGATTGAACAGCATCTTCATATAGGTACTTTATGCATCTTGAACGATATTCTGAGCCTTCCAGTTCTATGGACCGGGATAACTCTTGAATATAGTAGTGAAATGTATACAAAAAAAAATTTATTTATTAACAGTCAACGTTAATAAATAAGATTAATAACTTTTTTCATAAAGTATAAAGCTAGATAGTTACTTAGGTTCCTTAGATACTCTTTTGAATCAAGATTTTATTATGAATTAATATGAATTAAGAATTAGAAATGTATTATGAGTCTTATTTAAAATTTTTAGAATTTATTTCTATAGATATTTTTTCGGATTTATTTTTGAGTATATTTCCAACATCATCAAAGCAAAATACAATGTTTATAATAAAGTTTCCATACTTATAACCGTACTGTTACAAAGACGATGATAATAGGTTGCTTTTTTATATATTTCTCCGATTCAAATTGCTGATAGTTGCTGTTGATATATAAATTGTCATATAGTCTTTATTATTAATTACATTAATTAACTTTACGAAAATGTAATAATAAAAATAATAAATATTAAATTAATATTTAATATAATTAATAAATATTTAATTCAACTATATAATTTTCTCACAGTTTAATATAATAGTTAAACTATATATATAAAAAATATATACCATTTTATAAAATTAATTTTTTTTGTCGAAAGTGACGCGTCTTATGACGAAAAGAAACTATTTAAAACTTAAACGGGTTCGAATAGAAATGAAAAGGCAACAAGAAAAATTTCAGTTAATTTATTGAATATACCATTTTATTTACATTTAATTTTTTTAATATAATGTAATGATTATGATGATTTTCTTAAGCTTTCTTTTTTTTCTTTTCAGTCATGTTATTAATAATACTACCAACTGTGATTAAAGGTAAATAAAATGGATTTCTATCTAGAATATAATATATTATTTCTAAAAAACATACTAGTATGGTAATTTAATAAAATAAAATCAAAAGTATCAATACAATAAAAATATATTTGAGTTCGACTTTGGCAGCAATATTTGATGAGAGGTATGGAAAAATTTTCTATATCTTTTTATTATTATACAAAGATGAGACTTGGGTTTATCATCTTCATCCTGAAATAAAACATGTAGATCTATTTAAAAAGAGCAACATATGTTTAACTAGAAAATGAAAAAGAAAAATCCAACTGGGAGGATAATGAATATTGATTTACTGCAGTGGCTGTTATGTTGCACTTTTATTTCCTTCTATATTTGGACATACTATAAATAAGAAAAAAAATAACCAAAAATTTGTAAAGATTTTATTTAATGATATAAAAGAAAACTATACCAGCTTCATTATAGAATTTATAAAATGTTTTAAGTACTTAATTGATCAATAAAAAAATGGGTAAGATTGTTAAACGCCTAATAGCATCACATTTTGAAATTTACGAATATTCACTTCTTATTTGCAAAATGAGTACAGTAGTATATAGAATCAGTTCTATACAACTTTAATAAATATCACTATTTATTAAACAATATATATGTATAATATATCGAATCGAGAATGGTTACTCCTCTCGGCTCCTCGGGGAGGTATGCACATCTGAAATCAATTATTGCTTAATCTGATGAAGTTATAAACAATAATCCAGTCAAGGTGTAAAGAGGGGTTTTGAAAATACCTCGAGTTAAGAAAGAGTAAAAGTGCATTAGCTCAAATAGCTTCAACATAGATG